CTAAAATATAAAACTTTTTGACTCAAAATTAAAAAAAAAAAATAACTGAAGACGAAAATAACTATAATAACTATAAAGCTTGGAGATGAAAGAAATGCTAAGAAGTATAAAATGGATACTGACTGAGCCATCAAAGTGATTCTGCAAAGTAGTCAACTGGAATATTTTTCAATGGCTACCAAATTGGTGGAGAAAAAAAATATTCACTTTGCTTGGTTCCCACTTTTTAAAAACAGTTTTCAGAAAATTTTACACTCTTATTTTCCGTATTTTTTTGTTTTTACTGAATTTTTTTAATATTTTATTCAAATTTTTTACTTTTTAGACACACCTAACATAAATACACCTAAAAAGTAAAAAAATTGTAAAAAAAAATCTTTTAAAAATTCACTAAATACCAAAAATACAAAAAAATACAAGAATTTAGTACATTTTTTGTATTTTTATGTATTTCTTAATTTTTTAAAATATTTTTTTACAATTTTTTTACTTTTTAGACACATCTAAGTAAGGTGCATCTAAAAAAATAAAAAAAAAATGTTTAAAATTTTAAAAATATTCACTAAAAATAAAAAAATACGAAAATCAAAAAACTCAGTTTTCAAAAAACTTAATTCAGAAAACTCAAACCAAACACAGTGATTACTGTTGAAAATGTAGTGTGACAATTACATAAAAAAATTTCTTCATAGAATCAAGTCCTTTTTTTTTAATTTTAAAAAATCATATTTTATTTTAGAATCCGAAACTACGAGTATGAAACACAAAATTAAACGGTGTGGTCGAATATAAACAAAATAAAAAAATTAATGGGAATCAAAATAAAAAATTTCAAAAGAAAATTTGGAAAAAGGCATAAGAGGAATCAGCAAGGACTTTTGTGGCTATTTTAGCCACAAAAAACAAAAATAGGTTATTTTAGGCACAACAAACAAAACATCACATCCAATCCATAATCATTGCACTCTTCTTTCACAAAAAAAGCCAAAACGCCAAAAAACCCTTTCCAAACCAAGCTTTTTAGCCCAGGCTAAAATAGCCAAAAAAACCAAAAAGCCATCCTACTTCCCAAACGGAGGCTAACTGATTCTTCTTCTGCCTTTTTCCAAATTTTATTTTGAAATTTTTTATTTTGATTCCCATTAATTTTTTATTAGGGCTAGTTTGGCATAGCCTAAAAAAGACAAAAAGTCAAAAAGTTAAAAAGTTATTACTATTCATCAAAAAAAATTAAAAAATCAATTTTCTAAACAAAAGTACAACTTTGATATCATCTATGTGCAGCTGCTGTGCTGCGTTTGTTGACAAAAATGAAACGATTGGGTGTAATTTTAGATTGTTGTTGTTCGGCCTGTGGGGGCCATCACAGGTCCGTTTTGATAATCTGAACCGTTAATGTGTAAAACTCGTCGAGTACTATATGTCTATGAAAAATCACATTGATCGGATATCGATAACTGTATGATCAAATCAGTTATGTACAACAAATAGATGGTGTTATAATTAACGATTGAAAAAAAACAAATCTGATCAGATAGCTATCGATATCCAATCAACGTGATTTTTTGTACACATATAGTACTCGACGAGTTCTACACATTGAACGGTTCAGATTATCAAAACTGGACCCGTGATGACTCTCACGGGCCGAACAAAACCGTCTAGTGTACTGCCCGAAAAGTAACCAATAATTTCTTACTCCCATTTCACTTGTGCAGATTGTACGGATGTGGCCCACACCTCTCCAATCTTCTCCTACACACTTTTTTATACAATTTTTTAATATATATTTTTCTATAAAAAGTCAAAAAGTTAACCTAAACATCTATATTTTTTTTCTCAATTTTTTAGCCACAAAAGACAAAATAGGCTATTTTAGCCACAATAAACAAAACATTCCATTCAACCCATAATCATTACACTCTTCTCTCACAAAAAAAAATCAAAAAAGCCAAAAAGCAAAAAAACCTTTTCCAAACCAAGTTTTTTAACCCAGGCTAAAATAGCCAAAAAAATCAAAAAATCAACCCACTTCCCAAACGGAGGCTAACTGATTCTTCTTCTGCCATTTTCCAAATTTTCTTTTGAAATTTTTTGTTTTCATTCCCATTAATTTTTTATTAGTGTGGCATATTTCTAGAGATGGAGTCCTCTTTTAAAATCAAAATTTTCCATCAGACCAATCCAAAATTCAAAAGCACGCTAATAGGGCCAGAAAAAAAAAATCATATTCACATGTTGTTCATGCTCAACCTACATCGTTAATCTTCAAATTTTCCAGGAAAGTGAACTAGAAAATTGCAGGCCACCAGTTAGGAATGATTTTGGTCTCTCACTTTTGTTACTGTGCAATTCCAAACCCATGTGCACAATCAAAACTAGCAACAGAGAAATTTACCAGAAAGTGTTTCAAAACAGATTATAGTAAAAACTTGGGTAATTATATCGGTAGTTCTTTTATTTTTGTTCCGTATCATTTTGATTCTTATAATTTTAATTAGCTCAATTTTGATCCTTGATTTCAAATTTTGTGTCAATTTGATCCAATTGATAACGCTGATTAGGATTTTTGAAGGAATTTTACTGAATTAGTTAAGGTTAACCCACTAAGTTAAATAATTTTACAATTTTGTCTATAAAAACATAATACATGTCACTTATGTGAATATTCTCTCAAAATAAATAAATAAATAAATAAAAGGACAATTGTAACCAATTAGATTACATTGAGACAAAATAATAAATTTAGAGTCAAAATTGAGTAAATTAAAATTATAAAAATTAAAATATAAAAACTGCTGATATAATTTGTCATAAAAGCATTTTGCAAAAAGGGATAAAGTGTGTGAGAAGTATAAAAAATTAAATAAAAACAAAGGGACCAAAAACAAGATCAATATTTGTAGAGTAATGCTACAGATTCCAAATACTCTACCAAATATTTTATCGTACCTCTCACATTAGTGTGGGATCCACAAATTTGTGTGAATTCCATACCCATATAAGAGATTTGATTCAACATTTGATAGATTATTTGAAATTTATAGCATTTCCCATATTTGTATAGAAATAAGGCATACAAGATTCAGTGTTGTTCTTTTTCACATACTCTCAAGAAGAATAGAAATGACACATTCCTCTAATTTGAAAACTCTAAAAGAGCATTAATGATGTAGAAAATAAAAAAAAAATAAAAATCAAGACTAAAATATCACATCATATAGGACCCACACACTAATTAAAGCTGTTAAAACTCTTAATTTACAACTCTCAATCTTTTTTTCAAGAAGAAATAACAAACAAAACAATACCATTTCTTTTTAATTTTTGGAACAACACACAAAAAATCAAAACAAAATGTTGTTAATGCCCCGAAGTTAGTGTCGAGCTATTTACTGTCGCATAGGCATTTTTGTCTTTTTCTCCGTATTTACGGATCATCAATAAATTGAGTTGCGCCATTGTCATCAACTAGAAAACCTTATAGAAAAGAGAAAATTCATCTTAAAATGTTAATTTTTTGTTATAAAAAAAGTTTTACTACTCTTTCTAAACTTTTACTTCTTAATAAAAAAATTATTATTACTCTTTTGATATTGTGGAATCTTTATTAATATAATCAATAGGATATAGTGGAATTCTCAAGATATAGAATGTAAAATCACATATTAACAATTTTATTGACATTCCTAAAAAAAAGTTTTTTTTTTACAACAATGATTCATCCCACTAAAAACATCACCACTAATAGCACTAATACATTAAAAAAGTAAAAATAAATAAAACTCCAAGGCCAAAATATCACATCATTAATGGCGGGACCCACTGCCACCTAATTAGTGGGAGCACTAATTAGTGCTCCCAAACATTTTTCTTTTTTTTATTCAAAATTTTGTTTTTTCAACCAAAACCAAACAAGTTTTTTTCTCTGCACTTTTTTAAGTAAAAAAAGCTGTTTTTTTGAGATTACCAATTAATAATAGTTTCTTGTATCCCAAGATTTTCCAAGAAAATAATTACACACCCAATTAGAAAAATAAACATAGACCTGAACACAAAAGACAGAAGAAAATCAACTATATTTATAGTGAAGAGCGAAAGTGATAGAAATTGAACTGAAAAATTAAAACAAAAAGTTGAAAAAAAATATATATATATATATCTTGCAAGCATTTGATCAGGATGAAATTAAGAAGAAGACAGAAATTTTAAAGTAACTTCTTGCAAGCACAAATTCAATTTTTTTTTTTTTGGTCTTTTTTTGCAAAAATATTTAAAACTAAATTATAATGCTAATATAATAATAATAATAACAATAATAATAACTTTTTAAAGTTTCCATTATTTTCCTACCAAACAAACTCAAAAAAAAAAAAAAGTTTCCTTTTTTTTTTTTTTTTTTTTTTTTTTTCTCTGTTTTTCTCACTTCCAAGAAAACAAAAGAAAGAAAAGGAAGTTAGTAAACGGCACCATGCGTTTACTCATCAAAGTAGGACAAAATTTAATGTTACATAAACTTTATAACTGTAACAAGATACCTAAATGATATGCAAATAAAATAATATATTACATATATACAATACAAAAACACACACACACACATATATATATATATATATATATGAGAGAAGAGAGAGAAGATGAAGATGACTGAGAGAGAACCTGTAGCGGCGGTCATAAGGGGAGATAATGAATCTGTGGAGCTTAACAGTCCGGTTGCTTCTAGCACCCAGAGATGGAAGAATACCTGTTGAGATGCTGTAATGGCTTCCATCTCTTGACAACTGTTCAATTTCTTCCTCAGAAGCACCACACATTCCTCTTTTATTACTCCTCCACATCATCATATTTTGACTCTGTTTTTGCAAAAACACTTTTGTACCCACTGCAGAGAAACTGATGACAAGAGTTTTCTTTCTTTCTTTCTTTCCTTCTCTGTTTCTATATGTATGTATATAGAGGCTATATATATAGAGAGAGAGAGAGAGAGAGCAAGTCGTAGTTGTTTTACTTATTTTTGGTCCATTTGAGGAGAAATTTGAAAAAGAAAATGAAAAAAAAGTAGATAAAATATAAATAAAATAATTTTGTTTCACATATCTTTTCTTTTTCTCTTTTTAAATCTTTTTTCAAATCTCTCAGCCAAATACAGTAATAATGAACGATTTTGTAATTCTCTGCCCTTATCCTGTATGATATTGATAAAGTGCGGATTTTTGGTGCATGCTGTGACTACATCCATGCTGTCACTCTCCGTTAAATTTATTTGTGATCATATTTTAATGATTTAAACTATTTATGTTATAGCGCTTCTTGAGTATACCATTTATATAAAAAATGAATTTAATTAGATAAGCATAATTTCATGATCAAGTCAATCTTAAAAAATTATTAAAATGATCTTGGCCATTTATTTATTTTTTTCTGAATAAAAACAGGATCATATTGTGGGTTACAAATATCTAATTAACTTATTTTTTTCATAAATAATTTACTTAACAAATCTTACAATATTAATAATTCAAATTATTAAAATAAATTTAAAACATGCCTTCAAAAACTGACAACATAGTATTATACCTATCTTTTATAGCACCTACCCTAGTTCGTGGCTAATTGGGGGTGTTGGGATTCAGTGGGTGTTAATTTTGTACTAATTTAAAAAATAAAAATATTAATAAAAATTTGAATTATTTACATCAAAATGTCTTCAATAATTAATGACTATCACTTTACATTTATTTATAAATCTCCACATTTTGGCATCATCAACTATAAAATTAACCCTAAAAGATAAAATGATATTCACTTAGTTGAAGGGATCTTAGTATAATTAATCCTAAAAATTAGAAAGGTAAATTAAGAAGTTTAGAAAAAATGTAATTAATTCAACATTTTTGACGTAATTATATAGATATTCCTTTTAGTAAGATTAAAATGATTGAAACTGATGCAAATAATAGATAGCCACTAAAATAAATAAAGATAAATATATATTTTAGTTTAAAAAAAGATGATAACATCATTCTTTTTTCATTTATATCACTAACGAATTATTGATAAAAAATGGTTCAAATGTTAAATAAATTAAAACCTTAAGAGTGGTTAATGTAATTATGTATAAAGTATTTTTTTCAAATCTCAAGAGAGGGAAGTGTAATTTATCAAAATTAGAAACAATATAGTCTATTATATTACAACACTAGTGACCTATATTTTTATCTCAAATTTCATTCACAAAAATCGATCTATGACTCAAATTTATTCTGTATATGGAGTTCACACTGTACCAAATCAATCTCTACCATACAATTTCATTCTGGGTTTAACCTAGATAACTTTTTTGGGTAAATAGAATTATTGTTTATATTAATTAGAGTTAAAGATGTAAAATGATAAATAAATGAGTAACAATGAATGCTAAGTGTAATGTTTTACTGTTTTAATCTTATTATATTGATCAAAATTAAATCCTATATATATATATTTGATAAATATAATCAGGACAGAGTTGGGGTAGAACGAGGTATGGAGAGAAAAATCCATCACATCTCTATTTCATCATTGGGACAGAGAAAACCCACACAGGGTGAGGCAAGGATACAAGGGCGAGGAAAAATTGTCATCTCTATTTTCAAGAAAGGGCGATTCTATTTGCACCATAAATTATCTTGCTACACCCTTTAATTATTTTTTTTTTTTGTTACAATTTTATCTTTGCATCAAATTACAAATATATATATAAAAAAGTTTAAAATTTTAAAATCCTAATTTGTCTATCGCCCATCTCCTTCAACCACATCTATTGTTGACGTTAGCGTTTGCTCCACTCATAGCCACATTCCAACCCCTTCACATCATCTCTCTTTACCACCGCAAACCCCTTTTCTTTTTGACCACCCAAACCAAGCTATCCCCTTTTTTGGCCACCATTGTAACCCGTATTTTCTCCACCTCGTCACCTTACCTCATGGTCCCCACCCTTTTCCCTCCCTAATGGTCCCTACCCTTTTCCCTCCCTTACGACCACCACCCTCCTTGTATCTTGCCTCTTTTACTCCTCATTTTCTTATAGCACTCTCATTTACCTTGAAACCCTATCTATCTCTTTTCCTAACTACCCCTTCTCCCTAGGCCCCTTTTCTTTTCCACCACCTTCATAGCCTCGTTACCTACCCTCAAAGCTCTAACCCCCCTCCCATTTTCGCTAGTCTCTAGTCCGTTCTCTTTGTCAATATCCTAAGCCTCTCCCCTGACACTCTTATGCACCTCTCGTCCCTTTTTCTGTTTCACTACAACAAATGGCACTTTTGACAACTAAATTTTTTGATCGCTAGACTATCATCAAATAATTGTCGGGAAAGGTAATTGGCGACTAAAAAAAATTTAGTTGCCGAAAGTCCTCAATTATCGACTAATGTTTTAGTTGCCAAAATCTTTCATAAAAAATTAATATCGTATTTTCAACAACTAAAACATTTCATCACCAAAAATCCTCAATTGCCGACTAATGTTTTTGTCGCCAAAAGCTTTCAAACAAATTAATGTTGCATTTTTAGCGACTAAAACATTTAATCATCAAAAATTGAAATTATTTAGGACGATTAAAGTTTTAGTCGCCAAATTTTTTTTTGTTGTTCATCTTATTTTTTTAGCTACTAAATGTTTTAGTTGCCATAAGTCTAAATTTTTTTAGCTACTTAAAATTTAGTTGCCTAAAGTCCATTGTTTAGCTACTAAATGTTTTAGTAGCCAAAAGTTTAAATATTTTTAGCTACTAAAAATTTAGTCGCCTAAAGTCTAATTTATTTTTTTGGCTACTAAAGTTTTGGCCTCCAAATTTTTTTTTTCATTTTATTTATTTTTTAGCCACTAACTATTTAGTCGCTAAAAATATGTACTTCCTTTTTGGCTACCAAATGTTTAATCGCCAAAAACATGATTTTATGTTGTTTTATTTATTAATTTTTCCACAACCTGTATGTATTCTGTGCAACATTTACCATCTATATAAATAAAAAAAAAAATACATACATTATCAACTATTCCATAATTTGCATCCATTCACTTCCAACCATTCAAAAAAGAATAACTTTTAATATCAAATTTCATACAAACTAAGTATATTCTAACCTAAAATAATAATTTCATACAAAATTTAGAATCATACGAAAACATGTTCTCCGTACACAAAAAAAATATATATATATATTCACTATCATGCCAAATGGCCATTTGGCATGGTACAAATTACCAAAAGGTAATCTATATACCACGCAAAAAATATATGTTTGATGCCAAAAGTTATCTGTACGATTAATTTTAATCCACACAAAAGCAAAAGATGACCAAATAGTGGGATTATACAAAAGTGTAAATTGTTCTCCATACACAAAAATAGAATATCCACAACTCCACACCAAAAGCCATCTACAAACACACAAACAAACAAACAAAAAAAATTTGCACCCATTAGTACCAGAAATGTATGCAGAACTTGATAGTTTGGGGCAAAAAGATCAGAGGTTATTGTCAATGAATTAAATTTTTCATCTTCTTCAATACTTTTTCCATTATATAATCTTAGACATGGTTGAAGTGTTGACTAAAAAGATGACATTTTGTTTGCATATTTTTTTTTTTAAATAACAAATGCATGGAAACAAGTAGCAGCACTTATTGCCATAGAAAATATCAGTAGATTCAGTACAATAGACTCAAGCAGCACAATTCATGTGAATAACAATAATCACTCATAACATTTAAGATTAAGAGCAGTGATAAAATATGTTTGAAGACTCATAAAGTAGTTATCTATAATTAATAGTACATATGACATAATTAGTCATCTAAATATGATCGATTTAGTTTTAGGCCTTTTTCACTCTAACTCTCAATCTATGTGTGATAACTAAATGCCATATGTTTCCATAGGTCCTATTTGTCATGAAGAAGTTGCACGTGACATCCATAGTGGTTCGGGAGCTGTTTTGCATTTTTTGCCGCCCAAACGTCCTTTTTCAACTAAGTTTGCAGCGTTTTCGGCTCTAACTCCCAACCTAGGTGTGCTAACTACATGTCATATATCCCCACAGGTCCTATTTGTCACAAAGAAGCTGTCCATGACATTTATAGAGTGGTTCAGGGATTGTTTTGCATTTTCACCTCCCAAACGCCCTTTTTCGACCAACTTTAAGGCGTTTTCTACTCTAACTCCCAACTTATATGTGCTAATTACATGTCATCTATCCCCACAAATCCTATTTGTCACGTAAAAGCTGCCCTTGACATCCATAGAGTGGTTCAAGGACTGTTTTTCATTTTGTGAGGACAGTCGGAAGCCATATCTAATTAGTGTTAAAATGATTAATTAACATAAGGGTATAAGAGCCCTAACTATATGCCATCCAGTATACAAAACCTAGTGCCTTCTTTCCCCTTTCACTACTATGAACCACATAAATAATTTTTTCAAACCTTTTTCCATAGACGATTCATTGAAGCACATATATAAGGTGAACATGAGTTAGGTGCATGTTTGTCCCTCTAGAACCTAGTTAAAAATCAACAAGAAAGTTTGGCACACATGAAAACATCTAGGATGTAATTTGCTCATATAGCTTATAACGTTCCTTCAGTTATGCAGTGACCATTATAATGCATCGTATAACTTGATAGAGGTTATTCGATAATCATGCATTTTTTTTTATTACTTATGCTCAATAATGTAATATTCTTTGCATGTAGAATTAGTGAAAGGAAATAATATGAAGGTCAGTAGAACTGCATTAAACATAACCATCCCAAAAGCAGCAACAAACCCACCCCCAATTGAGTCTTAAATCCAATCTCAATCCATCACAGAGGTGCTTCAATTCAAATAAAGATTTTTATTTGTTGTGAGGTGTCTTGTATTCGCTATACCCCAATAGGCGCCCCGGAGGGGGGGGGAAGGGTGGCACAATGGACCGAAGGATTGCACCAAAATTGATGTTTATGG